GCTCTATTGGGACATGTCCGTCCCGCCGGCCGCACATGCGCACTCCCACAAATCTATATATTTTACACAGAACCTACTTAACACAGATTAGATTTTGACCCATTGACAGCTCATTGTGCCCGAAATACATTAGTGTTCCAGGTACCTTTTATCATTTATTGTGGGCATGTCCCAAAATTCAGGGTTCTTGGACGCAGATAGTGAAGTTCCTGCATGACAAGATAAGGTCCTCAATATCCTTAGACCCTAAACAATGCTTACTGCCCACATGGAAGAAAAATATATTTGAAACATATTTTAAAAATATTCTTCCCAAAAATATTGACATATATTTGAAATACTACAATTAATGAACAAAATATATCTATATATATGTTATATATATACTGTATACTGTATGTTAAAATGCATTTTTATTACAAAATATATGAAAAATATTTTATAAAATACATTTTCAAATATACTGTATGTCTTTAAACATACAAATCTACATTTTTGGAATGCATTTACAAATATATATAAAAATATAAATGTTAAAATTCTTTTTTATATGTTAAAAGAAATCTGAAGAATATATTTACATTTTATACATACTGCATGTTGAAATGCATTTTTTATATATTACAAAATATCTGAAAAATATTTTTAAAAATATTTTTTTAAATATATTCTTCAGATTTTTTTTAACATATAAAAAAGTCATTTTAACATTTATATTTTTACATATATTTGTAAATGCATTCCAAAAATGTAGATTTGTATTTTTATAGACATACAGTATATTTGAAATGTATTTTTAAAAAAATTTTTTCATATATTTTGTAACAAAAACGAATTTCACCGTAATATATATATATATATATATATATTTTTTATATATATATATATATTGAATATATGGCCCAAAATTGTAGTATTTCAAATATATGTCAATATATTTGGGAAGAATATTTTAAAATATGTTTCAAATATATGTTTCTTCCATATGGGTGGGTCTCTTTATGGATCTTAACATTGACAAATTCACTACTGTATTCTTACAGTACATTAAACTTTATTTCCAGTCAGGAAATTGATTGCACACGCCTGGATACAAGCTCATTCTCCAGAAATTAATAACAGTCTTTTTCTTATGAAAATGATTTATGATTATGGGGTTGACCAACCAAATATCAAGAAATATGAGACTGTTGGCTTCAACACCCTGATACATGCATTGTATGTGGTCACAAATTCTGTCATATTGCAGCCTTCACAGGGAATATAATTTTCAAATGATTTTTCTTGTTATTCTAATATCCGAGCTGATACTTATATCTGACACAATATCTTTGTATAAGCTGTTGGTCATCTAGATTTGAGAGAATGTAATGCTGCTGTTATTTATTTTAATACATTATGTACTGTTGCCAGTAATGGATATTATTCAACCCCCTTTTTGGTGTGAAATATTCACACAATTTTGAGTCAAAATGTTCAACTACTTTAGAAAATCATCCTCTGTATATCAATTAGGAATAAATAAATGTATACAGTATGTTTCTCTCTCATGGTCCAATAACCTACTGCCTCTATTTTGCAATTCATAAACTAGGTATAGCTTCAAGGGGTCATCCCAATGTGGCTGAGGGAATCAGGCCTGTCATTTGCAGGTCTTGGCATTCCAAGTTTTTAAAAGAAACCTAAGCTGCCTTAAAAGCTTCTAATGAGAACATCTACATTATTTTGAAAGCTCACAGTTTTAATGTATGTAACCAATAATAGGTGTAGTACCCTTCTAGTTAGGTGCTAGGTTTAGATAGATTTAGTTTGTGTTTTGACAAGTAAATTTAGTTGATATGCTGTAGTCAGTGTGGTTGTATTTGTTGTTAGGTAAAGGCATAACTTGCACATTGTAATCAGTGTTACTGTGTTCTGCTAGTTAGGTCTGCTCAGTGTGATCAACTGCTGCCAGGCTGATAGCTCCTTCTCCGTCCAGAAAGCTTGAGAAGCTTCTAGATCATTGGGGTGGAGTTATGCAGATGGCAGCATGAATATTGATACAGCCCTGGCCTATATCAGGGAGGCAGGCTCTGATGGCATGCTGGGTAACAGTATATATTCAGTGAGCACATTGGGTTCTGGGTCTTTTCCTGTATGGGATTGGTCCAGCCTGGAGGGGGCATGCTACCCTCCAAGGCAAATGCTGCCATGCAGCCTCAGGGGGGCAATCTGAGGGCCTAAATGCTGAGACCCATGTTCTGATGACTAAGGGGCTGTCCACTGAAGATCTGGTCTGGCATCATGAGGGAAGGCAACCAGCTGTTCTTGGGCCTTGTGAGTACAGACACCTTTAAAGGATCTTAGAAACTTTGTGCTGCTTAAACCTCTCTGGTGCTAGGTAGTAAGCTGCAGGTCTAGGCTAAAGGGGACACTGGCTGGTGTTCTGAAGAGCTCTGTCTATCTATCCTCCTTCTTAAAGAAACACTGCTCTTGGGGCTCTAAGAAAGAGCGTTACTACTTCTACTACTATAACCCTAAAGCTGAAGTCTACTGTTTGCTACAAGCATGGGCTTTAACCACTTCCACACCGTCCTATATTTGAAATACTGCTACAGGGCAGCACGAGGCCTCAACTGTCAATCACCGGGTCTCAGCCGGTGATTCCACACTGGCACCCGGAAATCTCTGAGGATTTCTGGCGGGGGAGAGACCTGTATGTAAACAATACAGATCTCTCCCCAGTCAGCTCTTGCACACTGCTTTGTATGGCTTTGCTGTGTAAAGCCATACAAAGCAGTGTGCTTACAGTGAAACACGCACACAGCCCCCATAGTAAAACAGCACACAGTTAACCCTTTGATCACCCCACATGTTAACCCCTTCCTGCCCAGTGCCATTAGAAGTGCGAGTGTGTGAGTGCTTTTTATTAGCACTGATCACTGTATTGGTGTCACTGGGATGTCAGTGACACCAAGTCAGTTCCCCCCAGTGTCAGAATGCCTACTGCAGTCCCGCTATAAGTCGCTGATTGCCGCCATTACTAGTAAAGAAAAAAAAAATACATTATATATATCGCCATTTGTAGATGCTATAATTTTCACGTAAACTGATTCATTTACATGAATTGGGATTTTTTTTTTTAGCGCAGACATATTATATTATATTTAGGTCTAAATTTATGACAAAATTAGATTTTTTACATTTTGTTACTGAACATGTTTAATAGCAAAAAGTCTTAAATTGTATTATTATATGTTCATGGAGGATTTGTTGTAACCTCTACACTCTATATCAACTGATCCATCATTTGTAGTTCCAAGCATATTTTTGTATTGCCTTTTATGTGTATTTTAATATTGGCTTGCCTTGGGTAGGACTGGTTTGCTAATGAACAGCTTGGTAGAGCAAGAACGTACAGTAGAATTAAATACAGCAGCAAGTTGCAGCGCTTGAGTATAAAATAAAAGGGAATTACCATATAAATAGCAGAATTAAAAAAAATAACATTCATTTTATGACATGCACCTGATCCAACGTTCATAGCTTAATGTAAACAATGGTCAGGTAAATAATAGAGATTCATTACACTAATCAAAGTGCCTTTAGTGATAGGGTTGTTAGAGTCATAGGTTCTGGGGATATACCCAAGTGACAAGCAAATCCGTGACTTCCGTGATAGGAGAATAGCTGTAAAATGCACTAACCAGATAGCGCAAGTAAACGCGCGTTGGAGTATAATGACCTACTCCTGGTCACAGCCAAATGGTCCTCAGCGTAAAGCCCTCAGGAACACCAGTGCACCACTCTTGCCGTCTCCTACCACCAGGGGGAGTGCGCCTCTTTCCAGTATCACGAAATAGCCTTATATCCTCTATCGCCAAGATAGGTGTGCTTTCATATCAGGAGATCATCTCAGGGACTCGGCAAAAAGACCCAAAAGAAAGAAATATGGTAATGTCCAAAAAAGCTGATTCACAGAATCCAAAAAGATGGCCGACAGTCAGATGCATGAACCAAGTGGATCATATGCGGTATGAGAGGGTGTCCTTATCCTAACGCGTTTCGTGGCAATGGCACATTATCAAAGGGCTTACATTGCGTACAGTAGAATTATGCTGCATTTGAGCACCACAAACCAAAAAAGTATTTAATTCATTTTTAATAATAAAAGCAAACTCACCCATCCATCCATGTCTCCATGCTTTATTTTGCTAAGATATAATTTTGAAAAATATGCCCTAGCATTTCTTGAATACGGACCGGTGATTCATGTAGCATTTATGTACTTGAATCAATCTGCCCTTAGCTCAGGCATACAAGCAGGAGGGTGTGCTTAGCTGAGAAGACCCCTTCTCCCCTGCTGAAGACCCCTGGAATGTATGATATCATTTGACTAGGCATGGATATAAGGAAGTAACTAAAGAAAGGTAAAAAAAGTTTAAAACAAGTAAATATGATATACTCCTATCTGTTTACTAATGCTAGCAGCATTAGGATTAAAAATAGTCAATTTTGATTGAGAGAGTGAAGTTTTACTTTAAAACTTTAACTAAGAAACACAGTTGAGTTTTATTTGTTTTACTTGGGGTAAAAATTTTGCTTGTCTGTTTCTGGGGTCGCCAAGTTTTTAACAGCCTACATACATAGGGCTGTAAACGTCAAGAAACACTGAATATCACCAAGCAAAAATAACATATACATTGTAACAGCAGCTAGTTGGCCACTATTTCTACTAGTGTCTCTTTTCTAGCTAATTAGAGCATTCATATATTGTTGTAAGTAACATCTTATAGGAAAGGTCAAAAAAAAAAAAACTGTTCACAATCTTTACAGCAGCTATTAATTAGTTGGTCTTACAAACATACAGTACAAGCATCAGCTCACACAATGTAAATGTGTCCAGGTTCTGCTTCTAGCTAAAGCAATGTGATGATAAGTAAGGTAAAAATAAGGAAATCAACTCATACTACACATTATGTGTAAATTCTACCTGTTAATATTTACTGTTCCTTTTTCAGGAATATTGAGACTTGGGAATCTAATAATCAGGGGCGGACTGACAACTCATGGGGCCCCCTGGGCAATAGGGGATCATGGGGCCCCTGTGTCCTTGCCCACACTCAATAAAAGCCTATAAAAGGTACCAGGGGCATTTCATGGTGCCCCCTACTGACCCTGGGCCCTCAGGCAGTGCCCGAGTGCTCGAATGGCCAGTCCGCCCCTGCTAATAATACCTTAATAGCCACAGGAAGACTGTTAGTTCTCTTTTTTTCAAAGTTTAATGTTCCAAAGCTTTAAAAATACATTACAACACTCTTATATGCTATATGTAACATTAGCATATCTTATACCATACAAATGTATTTAATTAGCAAAATGTAACAACAAAATGAAATTTTTCATATTTTATCAGTGGCAGACATACAAGTTGATTTACTAAAACTGGAGAGTGCAAAATCTGGTGCAGCTCTGCATAGAAACCAATCAGCTTCAAGTTTTTTTTCTCAAAGCTTAAATGAACAAGCTAAAGTTAGAAGCTGATTGGTTACCATGCACAGCTGCACCAGATTTTGCTTTGATTTTAGTAAAGCAACCCCATAGTATGCAGAGGAACCCCACTGAAGAGAACAGTGTATGTCCATTGCTCCATATTCATGCGTACTCTCTTGCTGTGGTGCCACCTGTATAGCATTTCTCCAGCAAGAACCTATAGAGCACTTACAATATGTTGGTACAAATGCAGTTGTCCAGTTCTATCCTGTTTCCTAACACCCCTCACGACTCCACTACCTGCATGATGATAATTACTATTCTCAAGCATCAGCATGACAAGTAGCTAGAATTTTCCTTTAATCTCCCATATGCACTTCCATTTTGTGTGGTTGTCCCTCTTCTTTTTTTTTCCAGACCTTTGTGTGCCAGCAGAGGTATCATATGTAGTATTTTGGCCTCTTAAAGTGGTAATAAACTCTCAATAAGAAAAAAGTGCGGCTCTAGTAAAAACAACATGACGGTTAAATAATTCTCAACGCTCTAGCGTTCTAAAAAAAAATGAATAAATAGTGACTTGAGTGAGCAAGCAACAAAATTATATATGATAATGGTGAAGCACTTTATTCCAGTGCTATGGTGACAAATATAGAAGTATAAGTGAATGAGCAATATAGTGCAGCGATAAAATGCAGTGCAATGGTGACAAATATATCTGTATCGTGACTGCAGTGAACAAATCAACAAATGTAGTAAATCAGAACAAAACCAAAGTGATAAAATGACCAATAAACAAATATATCAAAAAAAGTCCAAAAGATGATCGTGACATGAAGTGATAGGGGAAGCCGTGACAAATTCTCCCTTCTAATGCACTCACCAGAAGCGCATATTGAATGTGCATTAAAAGCAGTGGTAACAAACTCCTCCAACAGGTCAGCCTTATCCACCGTCAAGCACAGGTGAAGGGAATACACAGCTGTCATGCACCAGAAATAGGAGATACCTCCAACAGATCGCTCAATCCTCAGCAACAAATAGCCCCACCTTGAAGGGAAAAGCTCACAAATAGAGCCCAGAGAAAGAAAGTGCTTATGGTGCAGTATATTTATTATAAATTAAAAAGCATACACGTGGAGCAAACAGGTGAATCCACTTACAAAGATGGCCACTGGACCACATCATATGGATGCGGCGTCGTGACATCAGCACGTAGGCTCCTCCCTGAAGGGAAGTCACCATTTATTCATTTTTTTAATAAGAACACTAGAGCGTTGAGAATGATTTAACCGTCATATGTCATTTGTACTAGCGTGCACTTTTTTCTTTCAATTGTTCCTGAGGATAGAGTGGGTTGAGCTAGTGGCTGTTCCTGTATATTCCTCCCTGTGCGCTCACTGCCATTCTTTATGTTCCACGATAGTAAACTCTTGTTCTATATTTTTACTTACAGGCAAGCTTATAATAAAGCTTACCTGTAGGTAAAATTAATATCTCCTAAACTTCTGGCATTTAGGAGATATTCTACACAGCAGCAGCTGGTGACATCACTGTTGTATGTGCTCTGAAGGAACAGCATACCCATGCCATTCCTTCAGAGCTGTGTGCCGTGGCCAAGACTCGTGCGGTAGTGACGTCATCAGCGGCTCAGCCATTGAAGTAGACACAGCCCAGGAACCAGGGAGGCAGACCTGGTGAAGATGGACGCCCTGTCAACAGTGACAGCACGGAGGGCTGGAGGGCTCCGTTCTAAGGTAAGTCTTTCATAATGTGCTAGGAAATGATGCAATGCATACTAGCCCATTATGATATTCCCTTGCAGCAGGAAACTTTTTTTTGTTGTTCAATGAATTTACTAGCACTTTAACCTCCCTGGAGGTATTCCCAAGTGTAGCTCGGGGTAAAGTTTCAGCACCACAAGCAGTAACCCCGAGCTACACTCGGGAATACCTTGCAGCGTGCTCCGGGATCTCTTCTTCACTTACCTTGTCCTGCGCTCCCCGTGATGTCCCCCTGCAGTGTCCCCAGCAATGCCCTCCTGCCAATGCCGGAATCCTTCTTCCGGGTTCTGTTCCCTGCGACATCGGGACGTACAGGGACGGAACTGGCGGGAAATCTGAAAATTGTAGAAGTGACATTCACTAAATTCACTAAAATCACATAGTAAAACATTACTGTATCAAACCATTTCACATACATTTTGTCCCTAGTGCTTTGTCCTTTGCCCCGCCTGCATTTCACTTACCTTGTCCTTCGCTCCCGCGATGTCCCCCCCTGCAGCGTCTCTGGCCATCTCCTCTGACCAATGCCGGCATCTGTCTTCCGGGTTCCGGTCCCTGCGAGCATCGGGACGTACAGGACGTACGGGGAACAGAACCAGAGGGAAATTCAAAACTTTTAAAAGTGACATTCACTCAATACACTAAAATCACATAGTAAAATGTTACTGTATCAAACCATTTCACATACAACTTTGTCCCTAGTGCTTTGTCCTGTGCCCTGCCTGCATTTTTACTGTTCTTTCTGCCTTGAAACTGAGAAAAGTCCATGGCGTCCAAAAAGCGTCCCTTTATGTCAAAAGCGGTTTTAGACCAGCTAGAGAACAGTGATAGTAAATTAGAACTACTGGCAGAATTGAGTGATAATGATTCGTGGGGAGATTCGTCATCAGACACTGAAAGCGATTTTGCGACTTTGCTCAGTGATGTGCGAACTTGGCGCTATATTTCAAATTTCAGTGTTTCTGGTTTGATTATATTATTGAATTAAATGTATTATTATATTTATTATTTTTTATGATTATTTATTAAATTATAATTTATGATTTCGTGTTTCAAATTTTAACATACCGGGATGTTTACTAGACTCTTGTTCAGACAGATTTCAGTGAGTTATTCCTAAAAATTACAGGCCTACAATAAAAAAACTACATATTGCCATGCAAAAAAATTTACCGCTTTGAGCACAGAACTATGGACATATAGACTGCTAGGGAGGTTTAAAGTACTTCCCTCTCGTGTTCAAAACTTCAGTTTGCAGTAACTAAAGTAATACATTTTAACTACTCAATTTGTGTGACCACATATAAGGATTTTTTTAGGTTAGGTGCCAGTCAGTAATCTATATACTCCAGGTAAGTAAAATTCCTTTCATACAATAATCATTTTTACAAATAACATACCTGTTTAAGCAGACATTGTGCAAATAAATCTTTCATAAATGGCTACACACCTTATTTACATTATGTATGTATTTATTACAGTTACCTATATAGAGCTGTCAATTTACAAAGCACTTTACATAATTCTAGCACATTCACATCAGTCCCTGCCATCAAGGAACTTACAGTCTAGGGTCCCTAACTCACATTCATATATACACATACTCGGGCCAATTTAGACAGGAGCCAATAAACCTACCAGCACGTCTCTGGAGTGTGGGAGGAAACCAGAATACCTGTAGGAAACCCACGCAGGCACAGGGAGAACATGCAAACTCTGGGCAGGTAGTGCCATGGTTGGGATTCGAACCTATGACCCTATGTATCACAACAATATATTGGGCCCAACCTGGACCTAGAAACTCTTCCCATTTGCATGGTGGAAATAGTCCATTCTTGACCTGTTTCACAATATAGCATAATAATGTCACAATGTCTTTATGGTTATCACAGTGGAAGACAGTAACCCAGGAAGTACTTCTGGTGAGGACCAATAGGAGCACTTAGGATATTCCACAATAACCTGTGATCAGTAAGCATGTATGTGGAATTTCATAAAAAAGCTGGTCTGCAAAACTTTATATCCATTCTTACGTTAGATGAATTGTTTTTCAGACTATGAATTCAGTTTAGAAGTTCAGTTTATTAACAGTTAAGATATATTCTTGGGATGTGGCGACACACCTCATCCATTAGATTTAGATACTTTTACACAATTTGTTCAGTGCTACATCCACAACACAGCAAACGGTTTCTTGTTACCCCTTGGTTTTCCAATAGAAGGCTTATGATTGTATGCAAATACAAATATATTGGTAATTCTTTCTTGTCAAAGCATAACATAGTGAACATTTACTGGTACTGTACACCATGTCAGGACAACAGTCTTTGATCAAGTCTGTCACTACATATGACAGGTTTTTTGGTTGGCTCTTCAAAGTCTTAGGGCATAAATCCTTATAAAAAGCTGGTATATGAACTTGCATATTTAAATCAATACACTTATTCGTATTCTAGCTAGTGAAGATTAATCATTCTCTGTTTGGCAGATGTTATTTCATAATAGTTTACAACTAGCTACTGGCAGTCAGCCACCCACCACAATAAACAATTTTGGGCATAAATAAAGAGACATAAATAAAATACACCTACGGCATTGCTGGCACAAAATGGACTGTGATAAAATACAGTAATAACTATGAATTAACACTACAACCCAGATGCTTAGTTAGTTTACATTACACACATAAATAATTTGTTCACTATATTTTAAGACAATTTATTGGTTGTTCAGCAGTGTAATGCACCATAAACTCTGTATTTCCTAATGCGCAAAAGTGTTCCACTGGTACGCATTTATATGCAAATATAAACATTACCACTGTGTAACTTAATGGTAGCCTATCGTTAATCACAGAAAATCACTAGGCTTTCGTCTATACATGTGTCCACTAAGAGCTGTTTTAAAAAATTGATTTGAAAGGAACCTAGCCTGAGAAAAATATAAAGGCTGCTTTTGTTGAC